CTGCTTCCCATCACATGGGGTGACTGCCCTTCACCAGCAGAGGGCAGAAGGCCATGATGTTACAGTCTTCTTTGCAATTCCTGTGTTTGGTGGGTCCCATGTTTTGTCCCTCAACCAAGAAGAATGAGGTTACGCTAACAAAGAGTGAGGAGGGAGAAGAATTTTACTGAGTGACAAAACAGCTTTCAGCAGACAGGGGATGTGAGGGTAGTCCCCCACCTAAAGTCGTGTGGTCAGTCTCTCACTGTGGCTGGGTCTGGGGCTTTTATGGGCCCAAAATGGGGGAGTGCATGCTGATTTGCTTGTGAGTAAGCAAAAAAGGCTAAAACAAAGGCACCACTGAAAGGTAGACATGACAGTGTGAAAACCAATCAGCGAAGGGTAGGTACATGCAAAATATGTGAAGTGTGGGGATCAATCAGAGGAAAGTGTACGAAAAGGGAAGAGAAGTTCTCAGTCTGCCCTGTGGATTTACCCAGAACTTGTAGCTTGGCTTGTAGGCTTTAAGCTGTCTTTGGTTTGAAGGTGGGGTTTTACCAGGGACCCTCCCCAATCTGCCTAGGCATTTGACTGCCTCCTGCCACTGTCAGAATGTTCTTAACTAAATTTCTCTTGGATTGTATTATGACATATTGCCTAAAAGATACATTTTTTAAAAAACCTACATCTCAGCAAAAGTTATACAAGTAGTGCTGAGCAGCATATCTTGAAGTCATGTCTTGGCTGCTGTCAAAGGCCTAGAGAAAAAAACTTGGTAAGACCACTTCACAAATATGTGATCAAGGGTTTCTCAACCTTGTCACTATCATTGACATTTTAGATATGATAATTGTTTGGGAGATGTTCTGTTCATTGTAAGCTATTTAGTAGCATTCCTGGCCTTTACCCAGTAGGTGCCAATAGCATGCATAGAATTATAAAAATCAAGTAATGCCTAATGTCTTTTATGTAGGGGAGGAGGGACAAAATCACTCCTGACCAAGAACCATTACCTAACTCTATCCACTCGTATTGGCACTAGTTTAACCTGAAGCGTAAATCCAAAGGTATGAATTTTCAATTTTTAGAGTCTCAAACTCTGAAAGCTAAAATTATCATAGTGCCTAATGAGCTTGATATGGTTTGGCTGTGTCCCCACCCAAATCTCATCTTGAATTGTGGGTCTCATAATCCCCATGTGTCTGGTGGGAGGTAATTGAATCACGGAGATGGTTACCTCCATGCTGTTCTCATGATAATAAGTTCCTGTGAGATCTGATGGTTTCATACAGGGCTTCCCCCACTCTGCCCTTCACTCTGCACTTCTCTCTCCTGCCACCACATGAAGAAGGATGTATTTGCTCCCCCTTCTGCCATGATTATAAATTTCCTGAGGCCTCCTCAGCCATGCTAAACTGTGAATCAGTTAAGCCTCTTTCTTTTATAAGTTACCCAGTTTTGGGTATGGCTTTACCGGCAGCTTGAGAATGGACTTATACAGTAAATTGGTACTGGTAGAGTGGGATACTGCTGTAAATGTGAAATTGACTTTGGAACTGGGTAACAGGCAGTGGTTGGAACAGTTTGGAGGGCTCAGAAGAATAAAGGAAAATGTAGTAAAATTTGGAACTTCCTAGAGACTTGGAGTGCTCAGAAGATAGGAAGATGTGGGAAAGTTTGGAACTTCCTAGAGACTTGTTGAATGGCTTTAACCAAATGCTGATGGTGATAAGGACAATAAAGTCCGGGCTGAAGTGGTCTCAGATGGAGATGAGGAACTCATGGGGAACTTGTTGGGAGGCAAAGGTGATTCTTGTTATGCTTTAGTAAAGACACTGGTGACTTTTTGCCCCTGCCCTAGAGATATGTGGAACTTTGAACTTGAAAGAGAAGATTTGGGGGATCTAGTGGAAGAAATTTCTAAATGGCAAAGTGTTCAAGAGGAAGCAGAGCATAGAAGTTTGGAAAATTTAGGCCGGGCGCGGTGGCTTACACCTGTAATCCCAGCACTTTGGGAGGCTGAGGTGGGCGGATCGCAAGGTTAGGAGATCGAGACCATCCTGGCTAACATGATGAAACCCCATCTCTACTAAAAATACAAAAAATTAAGCCAGGCATCGTGGCGGTGCCTGTTAGTCCCAGCTACTTGGAAGGCGGAGGTCAGGAGAATAGCATGAACACAGGAGGTGGAGCGTTGCCCAGGAGTTGAGATTGCGCCACTGCACTCCCAGCCTGCTGGCAACAGAGTGAGACTCTGTTCCAAAAAAAAAAAAAAAAATTCTGGAAAATTTGAAGACTAACAATGTGAAGAGAAAAGAAAAACCCATTTCCTGGGGAGAAATTCAAGCTGGCTGCAGAAATTCACATAAATAACAAGGAGCCCAGTGATAATCACCAAACAATGGGGAAAATGTCTCCAGGACAAGTCAGAGACCTTCATGGCAGAAGACCTTCATGGTCCTCCCATCACAGAACCAGAGGCCTAGGAGAGAAAAATGGTTTCCTGGGCTGGATCCAGGGCCCTCTGCTATGTGTAGCCTAGGGACTAGATGTTCTGTGTCCCAGCTGGTCTAGCCATGGCTAAACGGAGCCAAGCTACAGCTCAGGCCATGGCTTCAGAGGGTATAAGCCCCAAGCCTTGGCAGCTTCCATGTGGTGTTGAGCCTGTGGGTGCACAGAAGTCAAGAATTGAGCTTTGGGAACCTCTACCTAGATTTCAGAGGATGTATGGAAACGTCTGGGTGTCCAGGCAGAAGTTTGCTACATGGTCAGGGCCCTCATGGAGAACATCTGCTAGGGCAGTGAAGAAGGGAAATGTGGGGTTGGGGCCACCACACAGAGTCCCCACTGGGGCACTTCCTAGTGGAGCTGTGAGAAGAGGGCCACTGTCCTTTAGACTGCAGAATAGTAGAGCCGCCAACAGCTTGTGCCATGTGCTTGGAAACGCCACAGACACTCAATGCCAGTCCATGAAAGCAGCTGGGAGGCGGCTGTATCCTGCAAAGCCACAGTAGTGGAGCTGCCCAAGGCTGTGTAAACCCACGTCTTGCATTAGCATGACCTAGACATGAGACATGGAGTCAAATGAGATCATTTTGGAACTTTAAGGTTTAATGACTGTCCTATTGGATTTCAGATTTGCATGGGGCCTGTAGCCTCTTCATTCGGGCCAATTTCTCCAAGTTTGAATGACCATATTTACCAAATGCCTATACGCCATTGTATCTAGGAAGTAAATAACTTGCTTTTGGTTTTGTAGGCTCATGAGCAGAAGGGACTTGCCTTACCTCAGATGAGGTTTGAACTGTGGACTTTGAATTAATGCTGAAATGAGTTAAAACTTTGGGGTACTGTTGGGAAGGCATGATTGGTTTTGAAAAATGAGTACATGAGATTTGGGAGGTGTCAGGGGTGGAATGATGTGGTTTGGCTGTATCCTCACCCAAATTTCATCTTGAATTGTAGTTCCTATCATCCCCACATGTCATGGGAGGGACCTGGTGGGAGGTAATTGAATCATGGGGATGTTTACCTCCACACTGTACTCATGATAGTGAGTTCTCGTGAGATCTGATGGTATTATAAAGGTCTTGCCTCCCATGCCCCTTTGCTCTGCACTTCTCACTCCTGCCACCACATGAAGAAGGATGCGTTTGCTTCTCCTTCTGCTATGATTGTACATTTCCTCCCCAGCGATGCTGAACTGTGAGTCGATTAAACGTCTTCCCTTTATAAATTACCCAGTCTTGGGTATGTCTTTATTAGCAGCATGAGAATGGACTACTACAGAGCTATATATTCAAATATGTCAAAATGTACATACTGATATTTTAGGAAAATCCATAGGATATTCACTGAGAGGAAATTAATATGATACAGCCTTCACTTAGGTTTTTCTCAGGATGCTTCTATAAATTTGAATGTAAGTAGCAACACAAAACTTGGGCATTTAAATGGAGAGCATAGTACTAGAGAATCCAGGTCTCTTAAGGCATGCACATGTTGTACAATTACCTAGGTTGCATTCATTATGCCATTTCTTGAGTAACACATAATTTAGGATTATAAAGACCTATAAACATTTGGTTTCCATGTAATTTGACTTTACTGTTCAAAATAATTTCAAGGGAAATTATTTTGTTGTGGTATGAAAAACAAAATGAAAGTTGGGATTTATAAAATCAAAACTGAAATTAGAGCAGCAAAACTATATACAAGAAGGTAAGTGACAGATATTTAAACAACCAAAGAAAATCAACACATCCTTCCCTTTCATGGCATCACAACATATATTTCTGAGGAAATCCAGTAAAAATATGTATATAAAATATGTATATATTTTTACCCATTGCTTATCTCAGCCTCCTTTTCCCAACTTCTACTATCATTTCACACCAGTCTTAATTGTCTTCTCAGTTAAGTTTCCTCTACCTTTCTCTACCTTCTACGGAGAAGCTGTTTCAGTCAAGCTAATTCCTAGACTTTTAAAAGGGGGAAATGGAGAACCAGCAGAGAAGGAATGAACCACAGAGGCCTGATGTGGAAGGGAGACAAAGCCTATTTATAGGTGAAGTTGACACTGTAAAATCACAAGAGACAAAGAAGGGGAGGGAGGTCAGGAGGAAGATGAAAATGGTCTTCCAAAACTAGGATTAGAGATGATTTGGATGGGACTTGGCAAATGACAGGTTTTGAGCCAATGAGGAGTGTGAGAAACTTGGAAGGGGGGACAAGAGGTATACAAGAACAATTGCAAAGTGTTTGGAATTAGGTCTACAAAGCTTTTGAAAGACATGAGCTAAAAAACTGAATTTTATGTTTTACTACTTCTCACTTTTACTTTGTTCCCTTAAATGTATTCCCTATAGAATCATTAAATTTAACTTTTTAACAATGAAATCTAGAACTTATTAATAACTAATTTACATTGCTGGAATCTCTACCTTGTGGTAAATGAAACAACATCAGTTAAAATTTTTGAATATTAAGTCACTAAGAGATGCTGAGAGATGAAATCATACCTTCAGTGAGAATTCCCTAAATGTGAATAGTAGGGCAGTTTCTTCTCCCACTTTCCCTGGTGGCATTGACTTAACTTTGGCACTCAGGAAAAATCACCATCTGGAAACACATGCAGAGATGTCCTATTATAGAACAGTGCTGAAGAAAATTAGAAGCCACTCCAGTGTTCCCAGGACAACAACTCAATCGATATCCTCTTGATTCCATATAACACTATTCAGTTATTTATGGCATTCCAGTGGATCCCCTGCTGCTTACTCGATAAACCTTTGTTAATCTAAATTATGCAGTGTTAATGTAAGCCTAGTTATTAACCTATGGGTCAGAGAAGGATATTAATTATGCCTAAACTTTGATACCTGTCTGTCAAGTGCCCTCTGTTCTTATTTGAAGCTCAATTCTGCTGAAACAATGGAATGTTTATATTTGTAATGCATCGCAAGAACACTGCACTAAACTCTTTGATAGCAGCATAATCGTGGGTTACATTTTAAAATAAGGCTGAATTTATACTTGTACTTTATACTGGGATCTTAAAGGATGATGGTTACTATATTGAATGACAAATCACTATCACCCAGGACTGGAAATATAAATAAATAAATAAGAAATAAGAACGAAGTAGAAATGACAATGTTGCAATGTCGTCTGCATATATAATTTCTCCAATACAAGTAAGAGAGCCATTCATTAGGGTGTTCAGATGGTTAATTATCTGTTAGCTTCTTGAAGTAAAATCCTATGCCCACTGGTGTTATAGTCATAGCATGCAGATAGAGTAAGTCAAAAATTGTATCTGATGCCATCCTATAAAAATGGCAACTACATATTTTGCTAATCCAATTTGAGTTTGTGGTTTATATGCTTTTGAAAAATAAAACCTTTATTTTTCACCTCAAAAAGCCACCCATTCTTCCTAAGAAATTTATTAAAATGATTATTAAAGATATGCAAGAAAATTATTAAAGATATGCAAGCCATTTCACACCTTGGCACTCATATTTCACTTATGCAATATGTTTGCAAATTTGGGGCATTTCACCCTTCAGGATATGGCTAGTAGACTTTTTATTTCCTCCCTTTCTTTTAGAGATAGGGTAGTTAAGTTTGTTTGTTTGTTTACTTTTAGTTTATTGAGAAGTTTTATTGTTTCCTCCAAATATGAAACTCTGTGAATGTAGAGACTAAAACCAGTAGAAAAAGATTGGTTAAAGAAATTCGCTCTCATTTTGCTCAATATAATTTTCACAAAACATATACTATAAATATTTTTAAACTTTTTTTGAAAAGTGTTTTATCCATATGTTTTTATATATGTTTAAGATTAATTTGTAACAGATTGGCTTTGTTTATATATGTGGCATCTCCCATGATTCTCAGACTCCCTCAATTGTGTTTGCAAAATGTATTTCCATAATGCTCAGAATCTTGTACCCACAAAAGACAAAAATTCAACCAAATGTTTTCTTCACACCACCCCACCCCCCACCTCCCCCACCACTGATTTCTGCCTTAGGAATCAATGAATTTAAAATTCCAGAGGTTCTCAATAGGAGCAGAATTTTCCTGTGGAGATATTACAAATTTCATATATTTGTCTTCTGACCTAGCTCCAATCTGAGATTTCTAATAAAACTAATATCTGTTATACATATATATACACACATACACATAATTTTATTCAGAGAAGCTGTATCTAGATATGATTTGAATGTTACAAATAACAGAAATCACTTCCGACCTATTTAACCAGAGAAGACATTTACTGATGTTACGTTGAGACATATTGACATGTCCACAGTCTGATAAGCATCTCAGAAATGGACAAACTAAAAACAGCTAGGCAAGAGCAAGAGCAGCAGCAAAGTCATACCCCAAAATCCAAACCTCAGAGAAGACTCCCAGCCCATGAGTACCAGATGCTGCCCCTGCACTGCCGCTGTGGCTGGCTCTGGGCACTCTGCATGGCACTGGCCCTGCCTTCTCTGATGCCCCTGAAATATGAATGATGTTGATGCTTGGCCGCCATCTACCATGAAAATGGATTCTCACCCTTGCTCATTTGTTTTCTAGTTCCTAATTCAGAATAAGGGGTGATGCATCCAATTGTCCTAGACAAGCCAGAAGGGATGCTGGGAGACTGAGTGTCTGGCAGTTTTATCTTTAGTGGGGGATTCCTAAAATACAGAAGTTTAGAAAATGGGCACAAGGCTCTGGGAAGAAAAGTGTATGTATTTCATTCTTGAATCCCTGCTAATATAAAACTATTTGAAATCCTTCTCTTTATTGGTAAAATATGTACTTTTAAACATACATAATTGCTAATTTAAGTTACAGTTTTTTAAGGAAATGACTACTCTGAAGCACTGGTTCATAATACACAAACAGACATAAGCTGCACTAAAGCAAACAAAAAACACAGAAAACAAATCCAATAACACTGAGTGAGAAAAATATACATCACTCCAGAATAATGAACATTTTATTTTGCATTTATTTTACGAATCCATACTATAAATCTTAATCTGCCATGTATTTCTCATATTTTAAACATGGTTATAGAAAAATGAGGAGGCCTGGGTTTAGCCTTGGCTATGCTATTAATGCACTGTGCTCCCTAGGGGAGTCAGCGATTCTCTCTGTGTCTCATGCTCCTATTTCGTAAAATAGGTGCATTAGCACAGGGTCAAAATACCTCTCAGAGTGCTCAAAAGAAATTAATAATAATCTTCCCCTTGGCTAGCTCCTTCTCACTCTAGAGTCCCCTCATCACAATGATCCTCCCAGACCACTTTTGATTAGCTCCTAATAGGAACTCACACACTTACCAATCTGATCTTAGTTCTTCTGTCACTCTCCAAAAACATCTTGTTTATTTAGTTGTGCATTGTTTGTCTTTCCATCATGAAAATATAAGCTTCCAACAGTCAGAGCAAGGTTTGTCTTATTCACCAACGCATCACCAGCATCTAGGACACAGTCCAGCCACAGCAGCCATTTCACAAATATCTGTAAACAAATAAATGAATGGAAAAAAAGGCATGAAAGCACATCAGAAAAGTTAAAATATCTTTAGAAAGTAAAACCTCTATAGAAAATTTTGTCAAGAATTACAAAAGTAATCTAAAGCATGTATCTCTGTTGTCAACTCTGTTGTCAACAAAATTTTTACATTTTAGCAAATACTACAAATATGATTCATCTTCCAATTCTGGCAGAAATATATTTTTACATATACATAAAGAATTGCACAAGAGGATTTTATATGTCTCTTTCAAAATATTTTTCTTTTCCTGTAAGGAGAAACTTCCTATGTTACACAGACAAGTTTGCCGTGATGAATAAGGTAAGATCAAAGGAGGACAGCAGGCACCTACTTCTCTTTGTTTGGTGCTATGGTTCACCTAATATGCTCTCATTCTTTCGTCTTTACAATGATATACCATTGCCACTGGCCTTCTAAATGCTTCTTTAATTTCTCCCCCCTGCTGCACTGCATGATTTTTATGAGGATGAACAAAGAATTACTAGTCCATTTCGATCAGCAGTAAATCTCCCTTTTGCCCTTGTTGCTTCTTAACAGTACTTTTAGTCTTATTTGCTGAAAATGATTAATTCAAGTGGAAAGATACTGTATTGTAGCATCCTTGGATAATACCTCTTCTTTCTGACTAACTGCTGTTGTGGATGCAACTCCTGTGCATTGCACTTGACCAAGGTTTTGACACTTTTATTGTAAGAACAGACCAAACCAGGAGTAGAGAGTCCATGAGATTGGCACCATCACAGTACATGAAATATGCCCAGATTCTGACATTTTCTTTCCTTATTAACTTGCAAAAATTATTTCTGTCTTTGAACATAGGTTTGTAACTTATAGTATAAAAGTTTACTTCCCTAGAAATTCATAGTCTAGAATTTGATGTGAGATGTGGCCTGGGAAATTCCATAAAGACTCAGGTTACATACCTTAGAAATTGAGATAAAAATAATTACTATATTGCTTGCATACACAAAACAAAACTAAAAAATTATTTCCTCATTTTAATATATAAAACAATAGGCTTTTGTAAGACAGTCTAACTAAGGGAGAGTTTGGTCAACTGAGGTTGGAAAAGCAGTGTGATATACTGGAGGCTAGAGTACCAATCCAAGAATCAGTATTTCAGGTTTTACTTTCAGCTTTGTAACATACTTATTTTATGACCTGAGAGTAATAACTTAAGATTTTGGATCTCAGCTTTTCTATCTATAATTTAAGATGCCATCTGAATTTAAAAACATTACAGTCACTAGTAGAGTTCCTGCATTATTCGGGGTTATCCAGAAAAACAGAACCAAGTGTGTGTGTGTCTGTGTGTGTATATATATACATACATATATACACAACAGTGTGTGTATATATAGAGAGGGGGGAGAAGACAGAGAGGAGATTTATTATGGGAATTGGCTCATGAGATTATGGAGACCAAGAACTCCCACAGTCTGCAATCTGGAGAACTAGGAAAGCTGGTGGTTGTAATTTAGTCCAAGTCCAAAAAGCTGGTGTAACTCCTGATCCAAAGACCTGAGAATAGGCATAGTGGCGGAGGGTCTGTGGTTGGGTCCAGAGGCTGAAGAATCAGGAATGCCAATGTCTGAGGGCAAGAGAAGATGGATGTCCCTGTCTCAGCTGGAATAGAAACAGAAAAGTTGCCCTTCTTCTTCCGTTTTGTTCTATTTAGGCCCACAACAGATTGGATACTGTGCACTTACACCAGTGAATATGATCTTCTTTACTTAGTCTTCCTATTCAAATTATCATCTTTTCAGGAAATACCCTCACAGCAGACACACCCAGAAAGAATATTTTACCAGCTATCTGGACAACTCATAGCCTACTCAAGTTGACACATAAAATTAACCATCACAGTTCTCAATCAGACAGGTAACCTCAAGCTTTGGTTTGCAATTATTTGTCCCAAATTAATTTTGGAGTTCTTGGTCTCCATAATCTCATGAGACAATTCCCACAACAAATCTCCTCTCTCTCTCTCTATATATATATATATGTGTGTGTGTGTGTGTGTGTATATACACACACACACACTGTTTTGTATATAAGTGCATATACAAGTGTGTGTGTGTGTGGTTGTGTGTATATATATATACTTGTGTGTGTTTGTGTGTGGTTGTGTGTATATATATATACTTGTGTGTGTGTGTGGTTGTGTGTATATATATATACACACACACACACACTACTCTTGGTTCTATTTTTCTGGATAACCCTGAGTAATGCAGGAACTCTACAAGTAACTTTAGTGCTTTTAAATTCAGTAACTGATCTGTCTCATAGATGCCTGACTCCAAAAAAGAAAGAACTAATTGTTTGTAAGGCATTCATAAAATACAAGTAATACCACATAGATGAGGAAATCCGAGTGTTTCCTTTGTTAAGGTACTCATTTGAAACTCACCTTCCTTGAGACAGATTTAGAAAAATGCAGAATAGAAACTGCACTTTTTTATAAGGATGTTTATATATGACGAGAAGGGAAAATTTTTGTTTGTTTCATGGTGAAGAAGTGAACAAGGTTAGTTATAGACCAAATTTTGAAGAACATACCATTTTTTGCTTTTTAGTATTTTAATACGCCTTTTTGATTATATACTAAATTATCTTTTCTTAAGAACAATGAAATTGCTCTTATTTTCCCAAAACAATGACAACCCAGTCATCCCTGCTACAAGAAAACGGCCTCAGAATCATCAACATCCTAGTTTACCATTTAAAATAATTATTTCAATAGGTTAATTAACTTATTAGGAAAAAGCATTTTAGAGAGACGGATGCTTCTCAAAATATCCTACATGGGTAAATGATGCTGTAAAGGAAGGAAGGCAGACTAGGATGTACCTTTAAAAGAGTGATGGGAATAGGTTGTTTCCTGACCTGGGACACTTCTGTTCTTGGAACACTTTTCCTAAAAAATGAGCCAGACATTTTGAGTTCCTTTCTTGTGAGCTTTCCTAAGAAAAAATTTTAGCCTGGTTTTTATCATATTCTCATAAATATTCTGTGTTTGACTTTCACTGGTTAGTGATGATGCGCAACTTCTTACAGCTCTTAAGCCAAAGTTACCTGGAAAGTTCTTCATGATACTTGGTCACACATTTGGACCATTTTACAGCCTATTATAGAGTCATCTCTGTTTTTAGAATAGAAAATATTTTTTCTTTGTTGCTTCAAAGTTAGGGGCATAGCAAGGTTGAATCTAGAATAATAGAAATATTAGTAGATTAATAGTATAGGCAAAGTAACAAACCTGAAAATAAACATAACAACAACAAAAGTAATAGTGATAGTGACTAAAGACAAACCTTGCATAATGAAAGATATAGAAGAATTTTATTTTGCAACTACAGCTTCTAGGATTCTTTCTATCTGCAGTCCCACGAATAGTGGGCCCAGAGTGAGCTCATTTTCTTAGCTTACACAGATACGCTGGGTGCTCAAGTTTACTGCTTTAGGTCATGTCAAGAAGACTTGGAGAATATAATGCATGGGATACACATTTCCTGCCCTTCATAGGTTTAACAGTTGGGCAAATTCGTTTATGTAGTGCTTATTTCTTGTCCTATCTCCAGTTGCCTAAAGTAAATTCAAATGATGATCTCTAATGCATTTTTAGTGTGGAGAAATTTAGACCATGGTTTACACAGAAAGAACAGCAGATGAATGCATATGTGTTGCTTAGATGGATTAAGGTTTCAAAATACAAAAAGAAGCCAAAGTCCTATAATGAATGGGACATATAGTGAAAAAGGACAATAGCCTTAGTCCAATGTGCTATGAGAAAATCTCGGGGTAGCAGTTGTTAATTGGCAATTGGACCTCTGGAGTGTAGGAGAAAAGGGCAATAGATGAGAACATGGCAACTTGGGAAAAGAGAAAACAATTCCACTGGCAGGGCTACAGAACCCAGAAGCAGAGCACATTTGAGAGAGGAGATAGATGAAGCATGTCTAAATCAGTGTTTATTGAGGCTTTCTTTAAAAAAAAAAAAAAAGCCAGGATAGTTTTAGTATATAAAGAGTGAATACTCAATATTTATTTTTCTTTCTGGAAGGTAAAGTATTAACCCTGAAATTTTAACTCTTCATGAAGGTTCGTATTTTTTCCTATTGTGTGAGGCTAAAACAAAAGTCTGACTAAAACAGAAGCAAAAAAGAAAAACTGTACTGAAAGTAAATTAAAACACTCTTTTGTTCACTTAAACTTGTCCTTAGTTGACAAAATCCCAACAGAAATAGCTGTATTCCATTTAGTGGGGTGCAGGGAGGGGGCAGAGCATTTCCAATTCTTATAAACAATCAGAAAAAATAAACAAAATATTAACTATCCTTTCAAATAGCTCAGTTGGGAAATAATGATTAGTGTCAGACATAATATCACAAGGTCAATAACCTTTCATCCCACTGTGCAATATTTTACTGCGTTTGCCCCAGAAATCAGTTACGATAGACTCTACCATTTGTCATGTACATCATTTGGATTTTCTGAATGTACGAAGCGTTGACCTTAACCATTCTACAACTAGTAGAAGTTGAAGGTCATGCCATATGTCATTGAAAAGAAATTTTCTTCTAAATTGGCAATAAACTCTTGACTTTGACCTGTGACTTTAATGCCATGAAGTAAAATGTTTTTCATATTTGCAATTTACATAGAAAACACATGTACTTTATTCTACTGGACTGTTCTTTTATATCTTTAAGGTTAAATCTTGTTCTTTTACATAATCAAGAGTACATTTAAAAGGAACTATTCAAGCAGCAAGATGTACTTGCTACTAAAATGAACTTCCTTATAGAGGATACAGTTTTTGAACAATTTCTCTTATTTTCTCTACTGCATGTTTGATAGTCATAGAAACAGAGGTAAATATCAATAACTTGAATAATCTGAGAAGTCTTAAACATTACGTAGTTGAGACTTAAAAATAATTCTTTTCTAAACTCTGTAA